GCTTATTTAATTGTTTATTTTATTTAATTGCCTTATCTTGGCATTGTAAGCATATGATTTAAAAACATTTTTATATAAAATTATTAGTGGAACATTTTATACATCTTTATCTGACCTCAAAGCATATCATCTCCCGCGGGGGGCCACGGACCCCAGGTTGGGAACCACTGATATAGGTCACTATACACCGCAAAAGACCAATAATAACATGTTAAGAGCTGTTAATTGTGGGGTTGATAAGGAAACTATATAGTATGATGTGTTAGATGATAACAATAATACCATAGCACAGGACTAAAAAATGTATAAATACATTTCATTGGACACAAACATGATATTCAGACAAATAACACACATATATGCCTTGAACATACTCTGCTGATCTTATACAAACAGTCATGTGTCATTGAGCTGTTCAAATGTTGTTTGGGTCAGTAGGGGTCAGAAGGTCAATAGAGTGTTATGACGCATAGCCTGGGGGACAGGTGAAGTGGACTTGACCACTCATGCTGCACCTTAATCTTAAAAGAAATTGTTCAAACTGCCCATCACCTGGCCATCAGAATGAGATGAGATGAAATTTGTTGACTATAACAAAATAGAGATGCATTAAAGGGATAGGTCATCCAGAAATGACAATTTATTTCAATTGTTTTTGTCCATATAATCGAAGCTAACGGGGCCCAAAACAATATTAGACTCTTTAGACTTTGTATGGAAGCCTATTTCTGCCACATAAGAAAACAAAATACATTGGTAAATCATAATTCTGAAATTATGAGATTAAAAAGTTATATTTATTATGCAACAATTCAATTATGACATTAAAATGTTTGGCTTTTCATGTCAAGATTATGACTTTTTTGTCATTATTTTAACCTTAATCTCATAATTACGGCTTAGTATCTTATCATTTCTTATAATTCATATCTTATAACTTTTTATCTAATAATTTAATGTCAATTTAACGTCAATATTGTGACTTTATCTCATAAAAATAACTTAATGTATCTCATAATGCTAACTGTCTCAAAGTCTTAGTATCTCAAATTTTCATTACTTCAAATGATTTCGACCACTTATGTCACAAATATGAATTTTTGTGATAATTATGATTTACCAAGGCATGATTTGTGTTTCTTATTTGGCGGAAATGAGCTTCCATACTTGACTCTAATTGTATACGGAGACTTTTTCCAAAATATCTTCTTTTGTGTTCACAGAAGTAAGTCATACAGTTCAAGTGACATGAGGATGAATAAATAATGACAGAATTCTTATTTGGGGTGAACTAACTTTTTAAAGTCTTACAAAAAAAAAAGATGTTTAAATTATGGGCGTGCATTTAAAAAGCTGTGGTGATGACTATATAACTATAAATCTGTAATGACAATGTAAATGTCTCACATATTCACCCTCAATACACAAACCCACATTCAAACAAACAAACAACTCACCATAAGGATGGTAAGATGCTGGATCTATTCTCATCACTTAATCCTTGACCTTGAGCCAAGAGTAATGAGACGGGACTGCTCAAGCAATCAGGATCATCAGTGGCCCTGCGGACTAGTCAATAGCCTTCACCCGCTAACATTACACATCTGGCAGAATGGTTCACGGTAGCTAATCTCCACCATATGTTTACCACAGCAGTAAGCATCAGCTGGCATATAGTAACGGCACAAACCTCTTAAATGCATTTATATTGTACCATAATTTACAAAAGTCCATGACATTTGATCATTAATGACTATATAAGAAATAACCCTCTTTTTATGTCACTCGCTTTCAGGAAATTGCTTCAGCGAGGTTCACAGAAGAGTTAATAGTGTGCATGTCCGGAGATAGCGATCAAGGTTATGTCGCTCAGATTAAACATACTGCCTATGTGATCGCATTTTATGGGGAAATGGTTCACTTTGTCATATGCAATTTTTTTATATAGCTGGAGTTCAAAAGCTGTCACCGTTGAGAATGTCGAATGGTATCTTTCTCTTGACCTTTGTCGGCATTAATAGCATTAGGCACATCCATACTGTGCTCATTGTAACAGTATTGAATGATGGCCCCCTCCCTATCAGACAGATTAAAGGCATTGTGGGTGAATGCAAACACCCATCTGTTCATCAGGGCCGGGCATTCTGGGACAAACTGGGTCATGTGACTGACAGAATAATGATAAGCATTTAAACCTGCATGCTATCAGTATGCTAACACCTCGCAAACCCAATCTAACAGCATTGACATTGCATAATATGTGCTCTCGAGAACGTGCATTCGCTCCTAACAGCATATATCGCGCAGCATTGATAAGAAGTCGAGCTTAATAGAAAATAAAGAAGCCTTTTTATGCGTATTTAGAGGAAGTGAAGTGGGGGAGGTGGATTGAGGGTAATAAATAGCCTCACACTTTCAAGTTGCCAGCAGGTTTGCTCATGCATTTCCTCCTAAAGCCCCATAAAGTCTTTGAATTCCTAACAGCCGCCATACAACCCCCTCCTCCCCCGATATACTGCCCCTCTCCACTCCTGCAGTGTCAAGGTATTGAGAAACTCAGGTCATTTGCCTCTATCAATGACATATGTAGCTTATTATGCTAGTCTGTTGTTGTTTTTCTCTTCTAATACACCACACAATTGTGTTCAAGCAATTGTCAATTAAAAACAGTATCGATGCTGTGCAATCAAGTCACTAAAATCAGAGAATTTGAGTCAAGTTTCAGCTTATTTTGTGTGAAGTCATGGTCAAATTAGAGATATTTTGCAGGCAAAAATGGTCCATTCATTGTCAATAGTGTAGCAATGTATGAAGCACAGATCACACAGAAAATTTGCATGACCAGTTGAACCCGATGTGAAATCTGCAGGGGAAAGCTTTCGCCTCGACTGAAATTCTGAAGTGCATTCCTATTGAAATGACTGGATTTAGCCTGCGAAAAATTGCTGAACAATGCTAAATGTGACCGCACCTTAACTGTGTTTACTGTTTATATAGTATTACAGACATTTGTCCTGTGTTATGTCTTCAGTGAAACATTTAAACTGGCACAAATATAAAGCAGTATTATTTAGAGCCAGCCATTTCCCTCTTCCCTGACCATTTCATAGCCAGATTTATATAGGTCTGGTTGGATTAAAAGGACTGTCCATTAATAAACGTGTATTTATTGAATGAGCGGCCTTTTGTGTGCAGGCTAATATTTTAGATGGTGAAAAATCAATACAGTACCTCTTACATGTCAAGGACAAAAATGTGAGGGCTGAAGCCGGAAAATAAGGGGAGGCTAATACGTCGTTTCACTGATGGATGGAGCCATCAGCGGATGGCAACAACCTTGGTGCGTTGAGCTGACGGATGCTGTAGGGCTGCAGCCCGAGTGTTCATTGCCTTGTTATGAACACTACTCTCCAGACAGCGTCTATGGATTTTGTGGTGGGAAACTAGATAGTGTTGCAATGTGTTGTTTACCTCACTTTGTATTGATAAAGCAGTCTTGGGGTCAGTGAGTGTCTGCTCTTTACAGAGACAGCATGGTGGTTACTGGAAGAGATGATCTGTGTGTATATAGACCTATTGTTATTTTATTAAGTACAAGTTCTGGCATTTATAGTGCTACATTCTAACTGATTAGAATTGTAATAGGCTGGTAAAAAATAATAAAGATAAAAAAGTCATGTTTGATCAGACACCCATTTCAAGTAGAGAATACAAAATACAAAATATAAGTATTAATACAAACATTACATAGTGTGTGTGTGTCAAACTAAAATTTATTCAGACTCCAACATTTCTCACATTATCACAGTTTATTCGCTATAGTTTAGAAAATGGTAATAAAATATGACAAGAACTCAGAACTTCATCTTGATAATGTCAGATAACTTTGATAGAAAGGTAAGTAATGAATTCGGTTGAATAGCTGTCAGCTGTTAAATTTAAGTACACAATTAGATAATACCAATTTAGGTCGACCAATTACCAAGCAATGCTTAATTTTGTTCAGTCTGTGGTGTAAAAAGGTCGCATTAACAATTAAAGAAAAAACACTTAAGCAAAACATGGTCAGGTCAAAGTGTCTGAATAATTTTTAGTCCCAAATTTTTATCAATTTTACAGGTAGTCCACTGTATGAAGAACTTTTGGGTATAATATGTCACAGTTTACTTTATTATGCTATCCTCACTTACATAAATGAACTATAGTGTCCTGCACCCACTAGTAAAAAAATATATCTGGTGTCTGAATATTTTTTGGTTTGACTGTATGTATAGGTATACATGTATGCATACATATAGCAAAGTTTCCCTCACCTTTACATGGCAAAATGTGTAATCATAAACATAGTATCTTAATAAGATTAAGGGATACATAATATTTCAATTCTTGCAAATGTTATACACAAGTTTATATTAGATGTATTATGTCCGTAACAAGTTGAACATTTTGTCTCAATATGATACAGTAATTAAGCTTGAGCTATATAAAACTTTAAAAATCATTTTTGATCAAACAAAAATACTTATAAAATGTTTCTTTCAAAACTTTCTAATCCGACTGTCCTAATGTCCTGATAACTCTGGTGCAGTTTCTTGCTTTTTAACATAGTTCTGCGTTTGTTTGTTTGTTTGTAAAGAAAACGGCAGTCAAATAAATGTAAACGTGTATGTAAAAAAATATTTTTTGATGAAACAAAAATAGCCTACTTATAAAAGTATGTTTCTTTCAAAACCTCCTAATCCGACTGTACTAATGTCCTGATAACTCTGGTCCTGTTTCTTGCTTTTTAACGTAGTTCTGTTTTTTGTTTGTTTGTTTTTTGTAAAGAAAACGGCAGTCAAATACATGTAAACATGTGTATGTACAAACTTTATACTTCAGCTTGTTATGGCGACAGATCCTCGTTGATAGATGGCACATTGATAAAACCGAGATTAGTCTTATCGGCAGCCAATCAGAGAGCGGCGCAGTCAGAGTGGGGGTGGACGGGGGCGGGGTTCGTGCGCAGCTGCTGACACTCGTCAAGAATTGCGGTGTGGGATAGCCTGGAAAGTGAGTGAAGACCAGAGTTACCCTGTCGAGCAGCGCTTTTGTTTTTCAGGGAGACATTTCCCACAAGTATGCAAGGTGTTCGACACAGGATGCAAAAGGCATTACTTTGAGCTCGCGTCTGGAAACACTGGAGCAAGTTCGTCCCGCGTCTGACCGGCAGCCTCCAGCGGGATTATTCACAACACCAAACCCTCTCTCTCTCTCTCTCATCGATGCAAACGACTGCGTGTTTACAGTAAATATGCGTCGGCCTGTTAACGAATAGCATTTAGAAGACGTTTCGTTTGGGGCAAGGAGGCGTTTGGGAGCTTTTCAAGATAATCGGCGCTAACAGTTTTCGGAGGTTTCCACGGACTGAGCGCGGGACTGCTTACAGTTACTCATGTAGCAGTTTCACATCGATCTCTGGGTCTCTTTTAGAGACACGGTTTCATCAGCACGCTGTTGCAACAACTGGCGCAGGTTTTTAACATCTGAAGAATGTAGTTCATTCCCCGTGGACAGCGCGAGCTTCTGCTGAACTGATTAGCGTCTCTCATCAAGTGTGAAATCGCACTTCTTGCTCCCGTTTTATTGTTTTGATTAGGGTTTTTACGTTTTAACCTGCTATTTTCCCCCGTTGTATATAGCATTTCGAGTCTTTTTTGCTGCGACTAGAAGAAGGAAGCATTTACTTTTGGAGAATATTTGCTTTTATTTCACGATGTACGAGAGTGTGGACGTTGTTGGGCTGACCCCTAGTCCGAACCCGTTTTTAAGCATGGATTACTACCACCAGAACCGCGGCTGTCTGATCCCGGAGAAAGGCCTCGTGTCGGGAGCGGCCCGCGGCTTCAGGACCCCGCACTGGAGCGGCTCCGATCACTGTAGGTGGCCTTTTATTTTCTTTATCCTTAACACAGTCTCTGATCTAACATTATGCGAACAATTTCATTCCGAGTTTCTCCCCCGACTGCTGAATGTTTGGGGGGGTCACTGGGGCTCTTTACAGGGGCAACTACACATCAGCTGTTTTCCAGCGTGTATACATGTTGGCTGTGTCTCAAACCTAGTGAGTTGACTACCTAGACAACTGCTAATGCGCTGTAAATATGTGTAATATATTTTACTGCCTGTTGTTATAGAATAAGGCTCAATTTAAACACGTATTTCCTGTCAGTGTGATATTAATTAATTGATAATATACGAGTACTGTATATTTAGTGTGGCTTTATGAACTGTTACATTTATAGGTAATCATATTATATAGTATCTCAGTCCAGACACTTTCAGGCACTGAATTTCCACCATATTTCTATTGATATTGTCATGAATGAGTAACAAACTAATCACACTAAATGTATGTAGGTTCAAATTCCTTAGGCTTGGGGGTCAAAGGTCAATTTTGAGTCAGTTTCTCCCAGTGACCACTATGCATTAGGGCCTACAATGTGTCAGTTCATTCTTAGAAACCATTAACTTGTTTTAGTTTTGGTTTGAATGATTATGTGCATTTAGTGCAGTAGTGTTTGCAAAACTTCAGTAGTAGAAAGCTTTTTTTAGATATCATACAGATCAGATTGGTTTAAAATTCCTTATTCAACCAGTATTTACATGAAAATCAGGTATACGTTTACATGTATATTAATCGGTGCTCTCTATTTCTGTACATTGTGAAACCTACACTATTTTTGCACCATTTTCTCCGTGTGATTTGGTGTTACTCCCATGTGCATTGTGGTTCCTGCGTGTTACCACCTCATTTTACGCATAATCTTAGTGGTTGCTTTGGAGAAGCTTTTTACCGTATAAATTTTATAGTTGGATCATTCATTTTACAAACTCTCATTCTGCAGCATTTTACCTTCAATAAAATGTAGTGTAGTAGTGTGAAAAACTGAGGGGAATATGTGTGAAAATAAACCCAATTTAGCTGATGAGCAAGATCTGAGAAGTTCCATCAGCAGCTGTGTGCAGCCAGCTTTGAAAAGAAGCTACATTAATACCATCAGTTCCAGTGTGCTAATTTTACTACTGTCTTAAAAGTACGTTTGACATGTTCTTAAAATAGAAAGATATTTCTATTTGCTAAATAAAAGGTATGAGAAGATTAGGTGGTTTTTCTCAGTAGCAGTTGTGTCTGATTGTTTGGATTCTTTTTAAATACTTTACTTTGCATGTTAGTGTAGGGGAATTTACAGCTTACAGTTAACCCCAAAGACCAGGTATGATGAATGAAGACCAGGAGTCAGAGATGCAATCAATCGAAGAAAAATTTACTGAAGAAAAATAGTTTGCAGTTTCATCAGCAGAAGTCAGCTTCAACACTCTCGATGGAGTTCGCAGGCCGCTCTGTGTACATGTTAACAACACCAGCAATTATACTCTAACAGAGGTCGCTAATTGCGTCAATGCATAGGTCAGGAAAATTTTAATTGATCTAAAACCTAGATAAACTTAGAAAATCTCCACATGAACGTAAAACTCAAAGCATATCTTCGAATGATTATTTTGGTGCCAAGTGATCAGAGGTCAGATGCAATAGGCATATTAAACTTATTTTCTAACATGCATAAATGTAACTTTGATTAATAATTATTCAAGAAGAAACGAATATATATTTTCTGAAGGTCGCGATAGCTCCAGGATTCCACTCCTTCATTAGTTCTTACCAAGCATGATACTTGGAAATTAACCTGGTTTGAGTATTTTAAATATCAAGTATTATTGAATAATAGCAATTATATATATAATAGCTATTAAATCTTTAGAGCATAATGGAAAATATATTTTTTCAGATGAACTAGGGACTGCTTGCAATAGCACATCTTGTACAAGGACACTAGACAACGACGATGTCTTATCACAGCGTATGGTATGTGTTTGCAACTCGAGCGTGACATTTCAGGGGGCCAGAGTCTTTCTGGAAACATGGTCTCCAGTGATTGTTGGGGCATGTCAACATTGCTAATCTTGTGTAAGCCTGTTTGAGGGATGATTTGTTCTGCAGCTCAGCATCCTTTTCTTATGGAGAACAGTCCTAGCAGCCAAAGTATTTATGGTTCTTGAAAAGGGCACATAGAGCAAGGAGACTCGGTGGTGCGGCTCGACCGCTTCGAGGAGACGAGATCTAAATGAAGTCATGTAGAAATAAGTGACGGTCCTAGGATCTCCTGTAAAGTTGTTTTTGTATAAGTGGCATGTTAGGGTGGAATATAGGCTAGTGTCCAATTGTCTCCTTTTCTCCCTGTATGAGAGTTGTGCTTTTAGTCCAAGAAGATATTTTGTATTTCTCCATATTTCTGCAAGAGTGACTTTCAGTGGTGGCGTATATGGGTCAGGAGTAACCATATGCTTGGTTTTTTAACCCACCATAGTTTCCACTTTGCAGAGTAAATCACAAAGAGCTCGAAAGACCCTCAAGGGCCATTGACTGAAGTGCAATGAATTGCTTTGCTCTTTCAGATAATCCTCAAAATAATTAAAGCCAGGCAGCAGCTTTTAATGACCCCGTTCTGAGTCTTGCATAAGATCGTGAGACTTTGAATAATGGATGTTTGCAGAGTGTGTTCCTTTAAGTGACACTCAAAGTGAAGTATGCTGTAGAGTTGCGTTTTTCTGCTACTTCTGTCTGTGTATTGTCTTGCGTTCTTCTGAAGCGTGCCATGTGATTGGTTCTTAGTGGCCTTCAAACATGAGCACCTTCACGGCCATCAGGAGCGGATTAGGCCCTCCACCTCCCTGACCTCCAAGCCCTGCTACCTCGGCGCAGTGAGAGGCTCTGGCGCTCCGTGTCTCAGGGAGGCATCCATCACGGTGTGTTTGAAAAGCTCTCCATCATTCTGAAGGCTGCCTGGGACCCAGCAGAATGAAAGCAGGCGGTCGGATCTCTCTGCTGTTCCTGCCCCACTAAAAGACTGTTAACTTTCTATTCACAAGCCTCCTCGCGACATTCCAGTGTAGCTCTTTTGTTTTAACAGAGAGCTTGATCTCTTGTGAACATGCATTGTTGAAGAGCATGCTTAGATTGTGCATCTCGTTGATGTATCATCACTTATGTTTCACTTATAGTATCACAGTAGCAATATTTCTATCCAAGCTGTGAATTTGGCTTAAATGAAAAATCTAAATATTGCAAAAACTGTTCATAAAAAGCTAATAAAGCAGCATTTCCGTTCCACACACTTCTGGGAAACTTCATGCAAAATAGAAATGGAAGTTGTAGCCACTGGGCAAACCAAAGTGGCTCTTTAAAAGTAATAAGTTTTACAGAATACTCTAGTAGTTGGTGAGAAATGCCTTATGTCAGGGGTTGGCACAGTATCAGAGAGTTTTGAGATGTAGTGGTAAATATTTTTGGCTTTGGCAATTCAAAACAACCAGAGCAGGTTTTGTTTTCTTCTCTGCATTAAGTCATGTGACTCAGATCTTCTAAAGGTCAAAGGACTTTGATGGGCATCTATACAATTTATCCACCTCAAGCGGTCATATACCACATCTTTAAATGCACATTTTGGAAATGTTATCAACATCTAGCCTAATTTTTCCTAATTTATAGCCCTTAATATAAAGCATGTCTTATGTTTAAGGACAAATTGGATTATGCACTTTACTCACAGCAACTCACTCTGCGTCTTCCGCTATTTTTCAGATGTGCTTGTATCAAACTACTGTATATCAATGCTATTGCGTCATACCATATCGCTTATAAAAGTATATCGATATATCGTATAAACTCGATATATATCTTATTTTTTGTTTTATTGTAGACTCAATGTAGTTTAAGGAAGCAGGGCTGGAGTGGACCGCTTTATTTATGTAGTGCTAAGGGTGAAGCTTTATTTTTAATTTATCCCAAAATCTGCATTAGGGATAAATGATATATTGGAAGCATGATATAATTCCCATTATAAATTGCTATCAGTTGACATTGTATATTTTGGATGCTCATTTCCTTTTCTCTGCATTTAGATTACCTTTGCCATCTAATGGTTTTGTTTGTTATTTTAGACAAAATTACATAGAATCAATATCAGGCATAACACAAAAATGATTTTTAGCTTGTTATTGCATCCCTAATTTGCCTAAAATTCCAATGAAGATCAAGTCAGTGAAGCTTCTGTGGTGTTTCATCGATGGCTTGATGAGTCTCAGATGGAGCTGCAGTGTGGAAGCCCTAACTAAGGAAACGCATGTGGCGTTTTATTGTTTCCCATGAACAGTGCCGTGCCGGTGGGAGCAATAGCTTGGCCCGGTTGCAGCTGGGAGGGGATGGAAAGTGGGAGGGGAAAAAGGGATTCCTGTAGAATAAGGGCAGAATTAGTAGAGTTTGAGAGGGAAAGAATAAGTACCCTGGTCTGTTGGTTAACCGAGGCTTACTAAGGACCGGGGTTTGCCTGAACTCCAGACAGCGTGGCAGGTCTGCTGCTGAACACAGAACGGGAGAGCTGCTCGTTTGCATTTTGCCAGCGGCTCTTGTTGGCACGAGTGGCGCTTGTGTTGCTGTGGGTTTGGCTGGCTGACCGAGTGTTTATTTCTTTTAGCCTTAAATACAGAGCAGGACTTGCAATAGATACTGGGCCTGCCGGCGCTCTGGCAGCACACATCCAAGCGGATCCACAGACACACACACACCCCACATCTGTGCCATGTGGACTGTGGGGGGAGGCTGAGGCATACACAAATGTAACCAGCTGGTGGTGTACCGTGAATGGCTGTGGCCCGGACTCTGGATAGCACAGTTAAAATGCATGCATTTATGTTTTCATGTCCTTGTTTAGTGCCTAAAACAATGACTGTAAGAGAACCCAAATGAAAGCCCGGTAGTCATGTAACGTGGGTTTGTTTTTGTTGTTTTAGTTATGGATGTCCAATATATTTGAATATT